TCTGAGCGTTTATGTTCAAAACTATCACTCTGCTACTTGAGCCACAGCTCCACTTTTAGGTTTTTGGTTGCTCATTGGAGATAAGAGTCTCATGGACTTTCCTGCCTGGGCTGGCTTTGAACTTGGATCCTCAGATCTCAGTCTCCTGAGTAGCTAGGATGACAGGTGTGAGCCACCAACACCGGGTTTAACAAGCATCTCAACTATACTTTTCTATCATAAACACCCAAAACAAAACCATCCCTGCAGTTTCCACAGCCTTAAAATTAAAAAGATACATTCTTTCCACAATTAACTATAAAGCCTAGAGTTAAATTGGAGCAAGTTATATGAACACTTCTGTGAGCAAATTACTCAAGGTTATACTGACAAGATTAGAATAAGCAGCATTAATTTTTTTTGGTTCTTCTTTATGTGTAGAGAAAAAAAATCAGTATGGGTTTTGTAAAAAGAAAGCATGCTTATGATAAATTATTCAACCACTGCCTAGAGGTTAAAATAATCCAAATGCCACACTCATAAATAATTAGCATTTACATTAGCAGAATATCATTTCTAGCCCTCTTCCTGTGTTCAGGAAGGTCTAAACCAATATATGGAACCATTTTTTATAATACACAAATGGTTTATATGTGCTATATGTAATATGTTCTTGCAGTTCATCTCATGTCTATTTAAAACTTGATGAAGAAGCCAAAGTCGAAGTAGGAGAATTATAAAGTTTCAAATAAGTAGTTATGCACTTATTTTTTTTTTTAATTCTTCTTAGCTGGGTGCTGGTGGATCACCTCTGTCATCCTAGCTATTCAGAGGCTGAGATCAGAAGATCATGGTTCGAAGCCAGCCCGAGCAAGAAAGTTCATGAGACTCTTACCTCCAATAAACCACTTAGAAAAGTAGAAGTGACGCTGTGGCTCAAGTGGTAGAGCACTAGCTTCTAGCACCAAGAGGCTCAGGGACTAGCGCTCAGGCCCTGAGTTCAAGCCCAAGGTCCAGAAAAAGAAAAGAAAACTTCTGTAATTATAAAAACAAGCTTCAAAGAAAATGAGACACATGGAGATGAATCATTCTCTCATTCTATTATAGTTTACACCAGGAGTGTCCTGTAAAGGGCCTGTGCATTGATGGCTTGAACTCTATGGTGACCCTAGAACCAGACAGAGCTAGTGAGAGGTCCAGTAGTCCTTGAGGAAGGCCTTTGAAGGGCATTATGGGTCCAGGACTCCCCCCCACCCTTTGCACCTGGGCTTAAGATGTTAGCTCTATCCATTCATCCATCCATTCATCCATCCATCCATCCATCCATCCATCCATCCATCCTTTCTCTCTCTTTATATTCATCCTATCTATCCATCCTTTCTCTCTTTCCTTTTTCCTTTCCCTCCCCTTCCTTCCTTCCTTTCTTTCCTTCTTTCTTTCTCTCTCCCTTCCTTCCTTCGCTGCTTCCTTCCTTCCCTCCTTCCCTTCTTCCTTTCTTTCCTTCTTTCTTTTTCTTTCTTTCCTTCTTTCTTTCCCTCTCCCTTCCCTCCTTCCTTCCTTCCCTCCTTCCTTCCTTCCCTCCTTCCTTCCCTCCTTCCCTTCTTCCTTCCTTCCTTCCTTCCTTTCTTTCTTTCTTTTTTCTTTCTTTCTTTCTCTCTTTCTGTCTTTCTTCCTCCTTTCTTTCTTTTTCTCTCTCTCTCTTTCTTTCTTTCTTTCTGTCTGTCTGTCTTTTTCTCTTTCCATCCTATCTGGCTATCTATCTCTATGTGTGATTGTGTGTGCTGGTACTGGGGCTTAAACTCAGGGTCTGGGTGCTGTCCATTATTTTTTTTCTCACTCAAGGCTTGTGCTCTATCATTTGAGCCACCGCTCCACTTTTAAGTTTTTGGGGGTGGCTAATTGGAGATAAGGGTCTCAGGGACTTTCCTACCTGGGCTGGCTTCGAACCTTAATCCTCAGATCTCAGCCTCAGGAACAGCTAGGATGACAGGCGTGAGCCACTAGAACAGAGTCCAGGCCCTCAGTTCAAGTCCCAGTCCCAGCACACACACACACACGAAGCTAAGACCTTTCCTAAATTGATAAATCACATATTCAAAAAGCTTTAAGAACTCTGATCTAGGAAACAGAGACTTTAACAGGCCAAATTTCTAAGGTCGAAGAGGCGGGGAAAAAGTGATAGCAGGCAGAGAATAAGAGAGAGACTTCGACAGAATGTTGGCTTCTTATCAGAAACTATAGAAGTCCAACATCAGGAGGGTGTTTACAAAATGTTTAAAAAGATATTCACAGCCTAGAATTCTATATCCGGCAAAAATATTTTAGAAAGTGGAGGATGGCTCAGGTGGTCAATGGAACACCAGCTTAGAATGAAAAAAAAAAGAAAAAGGAAAGAAAGAAGGAAGGAAAAAACAAGCCGGGAGCTGGTGGCTCACGCCTGTCATCCTACACAGGAAGCTGAAGTCTGAGGATCACAGTTCAAAGCCAGCCTGGGCAGGAAAGGCCCTGAGACTCTTATCTCCAATAAACCACTCAGAAAATTGGAAGTGGTGCTGTGGCTCAAGTGGTAGAGCGCTCACCTTGAGCTGAAATGCTGAGGGACAGCGCCCAGGTCCAGCGTTCAAGCCCCACAACCGACAAAACAACAACAACAAGAAGCCGGGTGCCAGTGGCTCACGCCCGTCATCCTAGCTACTCAGGAGGCTGAGATCTGAGGATCTTGGTTCAAAGCCAGCCCGGGCAGGAAAGTCTGTGAGACTCTTATCACCAATAAACCACCAGAAAACCAGAAGTGGTGTTGTGGCTCAAGTGGGAGAGCGTTCGCCTCAAGCTGAAGAGCTGAGGGACAGCGCCCAGGCCCAGAGTTCAAGACCCATGACCAACCAAAAAAAAAAATCTTTTTTTCAAAAAATGCCAGAGAAAACAAAGTTGTTGTTCTCCTCCTCGTCCTCTTCTTCTTCTTTATTTTTTTGTCAGTCATGGGGCTTGAACTCTGGGCCTGGGCGCTGTCCCTCAGCTCTTCAGCTCAAGGCTGGCGCTCTACCACTTGAGCCACAGCGCCACTTCCGGTTTTTGGGTGGTTTATTGGAGATCAGAGTCTCAGATTTTCCTGCCCGGGCTGGCTTTGAACCTCAGATCCTCAGATCTCAGCCTCCTGAGTAGCTAGGATGACAGGCGTGGGCCACCCGGTGCCCGGCTAACAGCTGTGTACCATCACTCTCCAGCTTATTTTGGTTGAGATGAAGTCTCCCTCACTTTCTCCCAGGCTGCTCTTGACAACTTTGATCCTCTCCATCTTCTGAGCTCACCCTGCTTAAGTAGCTGGGGTTCCAGGGACAAGCCCCCAGCCGGGATTCTCAGCTCGGTGTTCTTTCTTTTCCTTCTTTTCATTTTCCCTTATTGGCCCTGGGGTTTGAACTCAGGTCCTCTCCTGGCTTGGTAGGTGCTCTACCATTTGAAGCACACACAGACACACACCCAGCCCTTCATCAATGGCTTCTTGGAACTCAGTTCTTAAGATGCAGTCATGGAGATTCAGCAAATGCTTTGCTGGACTTTTTGTTGTCGGTGGTGGGGTCCTGGGGCTTAAACTCTGGGCCTGGGCGCTGTCCCTCAGCTCTTCAGCTCAAGGCGAGCGCCCTACCACTTGAGCCACAGCGCCACTTCCAGCTTTTTCCGCTTGTGTGGTGCTGAGGAATCGAACCCAGGGCCTCATGCAGGCGAGGTGAGCACTCTACCCCTGAGCCACCTTCCCAGCCCCTTGCTGGACTCTTTAACATCAGGGGAAGGAGAGGCAGTTTGGGAACAACACACCGTCCCCCTGTCCCCCCTCCCCCAATAAACCTGGATGGCTGAGGATGGAGCCTCGTGTGTGTGTGTGTGTGTGTGTGTGTGTGTGTGTGTGTGTGTGTTTTCCCGGAGTGTATCTCAGACTTGCCATGTGCTCTTTGCCCTCAGTCCACTCATGATTGATTAACTGATGGCGTGTGTCCGTGTGTGTGTCCGTGTGACCGTCCGTGGAGCTCCATTTCTCCACCCCCCATCCCCCTGAACCAGGTATCCATCATCCACTTCTACCCTGTCTACCACCCACGCCCTGACCCCCCCCCCAGCCCTCACCACCCCAACCTCCTTCTTTCCTCTCTCTGCCCTTTCAAGACAGGGCATTGCCAATTATCTGCTTTTGCCTCCATGTTCCCCTCCCCCCCAAAAAAATCTGGGTTCAAAGGACCAGAAACAAATGTCTGTCCCCCCCACTCCAACAATTTCATATCTTTTATGTTTTTAATCCACTCCCCCCCCCCCCCGCCGGGGAAGAGTGAGGTAGCAAGGTGTGCAGCGATGATGAGCCCTGGGTGTGTGTGTGTGTGTGTGTTTGGGGGTGTATGGGTGGGACGCTCACTGTGGCTCTTTTTTCTCCCCCGATGCAGACTCAGGGTGTGTGTGTGTGTGAGGAACCCTTGCCCGACCCCACCCCTCCACCCCCACCCCCATGGGTGTGTGTGTGTGTGTGTGCACGCGCACGCGTGCACCCGAGCGGCACCCCCCCCCATGCATGACATCAGAGGTGGGGACAGTACCGAGCGCAGGCGCAGGCGCGGGCCGCAGCCGCCGGAGCTGCAGGCAGGGGAGGAAGGTGGGGACCTGAGCAGCTCCCCGCCCCCCCCCACCACCTCACAGCCCGGTCCCTGCACCCCCAGCCCCTGAGCACGCCAAAGCGTGCACCCCGTCGTCATCATCGGGGAGCCGGTGCAGCTCTCCCCCCAACACACACACACACACACACCCCGGCTGCAGCTTTGCTCCCTCCTCCCTCCTCTTCCTCCTCCCTCTCCTCCTCCTCCTCCACCGCCGCCGCTGCTGCTGCTGCTGCCACCATCGGACACGCAGCAGCTAGCCAGTCAGCGGCAGCCACAGGCCGGGGGGCAGCCCTGGACACAGACGCAGCCCTTCTCTCTCAAGCTTCTGCAACACCGGCCTCCTCCTCCTCCTTCTCCTCTTCCTCCTCCTCCTCCTCCCCTCACCCTCCTCCTCCCCTCACCCTCCTCCTCCTCCTCCTCCTCCTCCTCTCCCGGCACCATGTCTGCAGGGGGAGATTTTGGGAACCCACTGAGAAAATTCAAGTTGGTGTTCCTGGGGGAACAGAGCGGTAAGTACCTGGCTCTTTGATTTATCATTATTATTCATGATGATGATGATGATGATGATTGGGGGAGTCTTGGCTCTGAGGCTCCCCCCCACACCCCGTCTTCTTGGTTGGCCCACAATATCCGAACCCCATTGGGGAAACCCCCTCTCTCCCCTCCCCTCCCTCAATCTCCAGGCTGGTGTAGGGGAAAAAAATTAAATTAAAAAAGCCCTTCCACACCCGGCCCGCAGGGGAGGGCTGGGGTGGGGCTGAGGGGGGGGAGAGGGCCTGGGGTGAGGACCCAGTGGGGAGAGGGGGAGATGCTGGGATCAAGGGTGGAGGAGGGTAGTCTGGGGTATGGGGGGGGGGCAGGTGCATGGGGTGGGCCCTGGGGGGGGAGGACGCTCCCGGCCTCCAGAAGGCCCCCCAGGGATGGCTGGCACTGCGGCATAGGCTGCAGGAAGACAGCATGGGGGGGGGGTTGTCTGCATGCCGGCGTTGGGGAGAGGGGGCTGCACCCCCTCCTCCTCTTGGGAGACGGGAGACACCTGGGATCCCACCACCCTAGAAGAAGGCTTCTTGCTGGGAAGGCAGGTGAAAGGGCATGCACAGCAGGCCGGAGATCTTATGGCTGCTGCTGGTGGATGGGGGCGGGGGGGGGGGGGGAGAGAGGAAAAATCAACCCACACCTGTCCATTCTGAAAATGGAGAGACCGCAGGCCGCAGGGCGGAGCAGAGAACCAGCCCAGCTCCCCCGGCCTAACATCCCACTGGGCCAACGGTTCTAGAACACCCCTCCACACCCTGCCCTTGTCTAGAGCACTAGGTTCTATGAGTCTTGGCAGGGAGGGGTTCCCCATTCCCACTCCCCCCCCATCCCAGCCAGCCAGGCCAGGGGCACTGGGGAGACACTGCTCAGGAAGGTCCTGGAAGAGAGAAAGGCCTAGATGGCACGCCCTGCTCCCCCCACCTCCAGAGAGAGCAGCAGGGGATGCTGCTCAACACCCCCCCCACCTCCCAGCTCCCCACCCTCCCCACTGGGGGGAGGGGGAGGGCAGGTCACTGTGGCAGCCAGCCAGGGAGCCGAGGGGGGAGATGAAGGGGGAGGGAGGCATGAGGGAGAGGGGGCAGGCCGGGCTCCGAGCCTCTCTGCTGGTGGAGATAGGCCCGTCCTTGGTGGACAGATCCCCTGGCTCTAGATCTATAGACAGATCCTGTGCAGCTGGTTGGACAGAGAAGAGAGCCTGTAGAGAGGACCGGAGAGCTGGGGGGCAGGGGTGGGGGCTGGGGTGAGGGCTGAGCCTGTGCTCTGGCTTGTGGGGCTGTGGAGGTCACATGACCGCCTCCCGGCTAGGGATGCTTGTTACCTGCAATGGAGGCTGGGAGCCTGGCTCCAGGAGGGGATCACCCTAACACCCGTCCCTGACCCCCAGAGATGGACCCATCCAGGGGACACGTCCCCTCAAGATCGATCCAGCCAGCTAGCCAGCCCTCCTTGTCTTTAAGACTCTTGATTATTATTATTATTATTATTACTCCCTCCTACTGTGTCTGGATGGGGTTTGAGTGTGTTTCTGCACTCACTGGGACCTTGAAGACTCCAGGCAGTGTGTTCATAACCTTGAGCCCCATGTGATTGCTCCAATTCGCTCCGTTTTGGTGATGGAAATCCTTCTTTTGATTTGAGGGAAAACTTGGGGTTCTCTTAGAACTTCTGCTGAGGCCCAAGGACTACTGCGGGGTGTGTATGTGGGGGGGAGGAACCACAGACAGGAGACATGAAACACCTCCCACCCCCACCCCGCCTTGCTTGCTCAAGAGGCCGGAGGGAGCCCCCCCCCCAGGGAAGACCCAGGGCTCCCCTAGATGCTCAGGGTAAGTCTTCAATGCTCGGGCCCAAGCGTCTCCTGTTTCCAGGCAACCATTTTCCATCCCCCCTCCCCGTGTCCTTGGGATTAAGATGACCTTGAGCCTGGAGAAGACAGGAATGAAGGAGCTGTGCATAGCCAGGGATGGATGGGGTTGGTCTAGGGCTTTGCCCTGGGTGAGATTCGATCAGGTCGCTTCCAGTTGAGTTTCCTTCAATGGCTCCCTTCTACTTGTACCCTCGGTGGGCTGTGGCGCCTTAGGTTTCGAATGGAGCTTTTAGGGGTGGCTGGATTAGGTAGAGGACACCCCTGAGTCTGGTGGGGGGAGATGGGCCCTTGATACTGTCTTTCCCACCTTGCACATGCTCAGTTGAACCTCTCCAGGTTCTGGGGAGAGCCAGGGTGTCTGCAGCCTTGTGGGGGAGAGGTGGAGGGAGCGCTCCTTTTCTTTTTCTTTTTTGCCAGTCCTGGGACTTGAACTCAGGGCCCAGGCATGTCCCTGAGCTCCTTTTGCTCAAGGCGAGCGCTCTACCACCTGAGCCACAGCACCACTTCTGGCTTTTTTAATTCTGTGTACGTGGTATACTGAGGAATCAAACCCAGGGCTTCATGCATGTGAGGCAAAGCGCTCTACCACTGAGCCACCTTCCCAGCCCTTTGCTTTTCTTATGCGATCTCTGAGGTCTTTTGCCTCCATACCCAGGGACTGGGGTCATCTGGGCTCAGCGAAGCCTTCTAGAGCCAATAAGGGCTCGAGTCCTCTTCCAGGAGATGGCCTTCCCTTTTTTTTCCTTTGCCTAGACATCTGTCTAGGCCAGTGGGAAAAGGCAGCTGAATTCTGACCAGGGGCTGTTCTCGTTGATTGGGGTGAAGAAGAAGGCCACTTGGATGGGCAAAGATGGCAGGAAGCCGAGTCTGATGGATAATCCTCTAAGCCTGGTGGCAGAGAGAACACTACCCCCCGGCCTGTGGTATATAGGTTGACAGTCATAGCCTGGCCTAGGGCTGGAGTTGGGGTGGGATGTTGTAGCTCCAGAGGCACGAATGAGTCTCTGGGTAGCAAGTGGGGGGCTGTGATGGTCCTGCGGGTATCTCTGTGGCTCTCTGGGTCTCATGGTGGTGGCGGTGCTGGATCCCAAGCCAGCTGCCCTTGATTGGCGTACAGAGCAGGTTATCAATGGAAGAGAATGGGCCTGTCAGATACACACCTTCCTCCTGAGACATAATGGCTGTCCGGGGTATGAAAGGCGGGGCAGGACCGTGCTTGGTGCTCTTCGGATCTCTGCCTACCCTTCCCTTCCCTGAGATAATGAGGCAGGGGTCTGTAAGAGCTGTGTAAGCGGTGACCACCTGGCAGCAGCTGGCAGCTGGGTTCCTCATTCATTTAGTTCAGGTCTCGCTTTCTGCCTCTCCCTCCCTCCTCTATTTTTATTCCATCTCTTGAGTGTGTCTTTGGTCCTCGCGTTCCTTCTGCCCCATTGGGGAGCACCAGATGTTTGTGGATATGGTAACAATGGAGAGCTGGGAGAAGTGGTCAGCTGGTAGCTGGTGGCTAGGATCTCTTTGCCTGTCTTTGGGGCAGGTGCCAGGAGGTGATCCTGTGGACAGCAGACTGCTTCTCCTCCTCATTGGCTGAACTCTTGCAAGGACACACCCCCTTCCTCCCCTCCCCCCAAGAGAACCTCATTTGTCCTTCTGTTATGGTGACTCTCAGGGGTCTGGTTGGCTGTGGATGAGTAGGAGCGCTCTCTCTCTCTCTCTCTCTCTCTCTCTCTCTCTCTCTCTCTCTGATGGTCCTGAGCTTGAACTCTGGGCCTGGGTGCTGTCCTTGAGCTCTTCAGCTCAAGGCCAGCGAGTGCTCTACCACTTGAGCCACAGCACCACTTCCGGTTTTCTGGTGGTTCATTGGAGATCAGAGTCTCACAGACTTTCCTGTCCTGGGCTAGCTTTGAACCATGATCCTCAAATCCCAGCCTCCTGAGTAGCTAAGATGACGGGTGTGGGCCACCAGCGCCCAGATCCACTGAATAATCTTGATTTGAAAACTATGACATTTTCCCAAAGATGTGAGATTTGCTGATGGCCTCTCTGTCGATTACAAGGAAAAGGGCAGATTCCTCCTTCCTGGCACCTGCTACTTTCCCACGCCTTGAAAATTCTCTTTTTTTTTGCGGGGGGGGGGGGGGGTTGAACTCAGGGCCTGGGCACTGTCCCTGAACTTCTTTTGCTCAAGGCTAGCGTTCTACCACTGGAGCCATAGCGCTACTTCTGGCTTTTTCTGTGTAGGTGGTACTGAGGAATAGAACCCAGGGCTTCATGCATGCTAGGCAAGCACTCTACCACTGAGCCACCTTCCCAGCCCCTGAAGATTCTTATCATGGATACTTGAGAATCTTTTTCAGAGGACTGGATTGTTCGGCTTTGTTCATTACCGGGGTAGTGTTCATGTCCAAGATCCTGAAACTTATAGATATCTCCCTCTCTCCATAACTCTAAAGATGTCACCAGAGGTGAGCAGGGAGAGATTAGTTCTTGTCAGAACTTTGGAGTAAAGCATCAAGCTACTTTGTGCCTCAGTTTCTCTCCCTTGCTTTCTCCCCCAATTTTTCCACCTTCCACTGTGGTTAGCTTGAGATGGGGGCGACCTAGACGTTGGATACAGAGCCAGAATCTTTGCTTTTCATACGTATATGAGTATATCCATATATGTGTATGGGAGCCGGGCACTGGTGGCTCACGCTTGTCATCCCAGCTACTCAGGAGGCTGAGATCTGAGGATCATGGTTTGAAGCCAGCCCAGGCAGGAAACTCTGTGAGGCTCTTATCTCCAGTTAATTACCAAAAAGCTGGAAGTGGAGCTGTGGCTCAAGTGGTAGAGCACTGATCTCAGGAATGACACCCGGGTCCTGAGTTCAAGCTCTGGGTCCTGAAAAAAAAACAGGGGGGGGGGATAATAGGAGTGTTGCACAGACTAAAAATGAGTGTGCTGGTCCGTTTTCTGTTACTATAAGGAAATACCTGAAGCAGGCTAGCTTTATAAAGAAAAAAAAAAGGATTATTTAACCTGTTTAGTTCTGGGAGAATCAAGGGTAAGGTGCTGGGATCGTCTCCATTCTGAGGAGGACCTCGTGACAGATGACTAATATCGTCACA